CTAACAAAGTACGTATTGCTGGAGGCGGTTAAAACAACAAACGCGGCGGCGGTAATTGATTTTCTGACTCGGATATTTAGAACATATGGGACGCCCATGTGGTTGGTGTCGGATCGTGGGACGGCATTCACGGCGAAATCAACAGAGGAGTTTCTGAGCGGGATGGGAGTTCGGCATATTTTGATTTCGACTCAGAGACCACAATCGAATGGTCAGGTGGAGCGGTTGAATAAGGAAGTAGCGAGGCTACTGAGAACATCAAGCGAGAGTTCGGATAAGTCAGATTGGGCGAAACCTTTTCAGTTGGCACAGATGCATATGAATAGGGCGCCAGCGAGGGGGACAGGGAAGTCACCTTTCGAGGCATTGCATGGTTATCTGCCGAGGCTAGATAATTTTTCGGGGTCGGTTTTACAAGAACAAGAGACGGTGTGGACGCCGGCGGAAGAAATTCAGAAAGAGATTCGAGAGACGATCATCAAAAATCAAGCGAAATACGCGGAGGACTACGATAAGAAAAGGAAACCACATTGGCGGCGGTATGAGATCGGGGATATCGTATTAGTAAGGCGGTTGCCGGTACAGACGGGGTCACCAACAAAGTCGCAACCAAAGTATCGGGGACCGATGGTAATTACGGAGATTCTACCGAAGATATCGGCTCGCTCAAATGGGGGTCGAAAAGCAATATCTGTGTACGGCGCACTGTTCTCAGTTAAAATGGTACAGAGTGTACGGGGATGAAAGTGACGAGGAGACTCTGCCTGGCGATGATAATTCCGTTAGCATTCCAGAAAATATTCAACGTTCGGAGGCATCGGAGTCGGAGAAGAACAGCGAGCTAAGTGAACAAGAGGACATTCGAGTCGACGAGTTGTCACAACATTTCGAGGGTCTGAACATGTCGATCCAAGAAGAGGAGACGGAACCGAAGATCAGAAAAACAAAACTGACGGTTACAGAGGAATCAAGTGACGACTCTAGAAAAGACGGCGCGCCGGAATCGAAGAGCGAACGGGCTCGAAATCACCAGAAAGTTGAGGCTACACCGTTAACGGGGAGAGAAGCTCAAGAACGACGAATAGGGGGTGAAGCAAGAGTTCGGCCGAAGCGAACAGTACATTTCCGAGGCAAATATACGAAGTAGATGGTTAGGCGGGAAAAGCAGGTGGGAAAGTAGGAATAGATGATGAACCAGAGAAAATATACAGGCGGTAATAGGTGGGTAGATAGTGTAGAAGAAATGTTCAAGTTGAGGACAACTAGGAGGTAGCGATGGCAGAGCGAGCGGGCGATGCACGCTGAGACTGACGGAAAGAAGACACCCCCAACGGAAAAGAATTCGGAACGCTCGAATCGAACAGAGCAGCAGTCAGTTCGACGTGTGGTGTACAACGAGCAGGTCGTCATGAGCGTGTGTGCGGATTGCTTGGACAACAGGCACGTGACCCGTTCGCCGGCGTGCAGTGCAAGGAGACGGCCGTGTAGGGGCTGTGGTGCGGTCGGACACTTCGAGAGGAACTGTCCCGCGCGCATCTGCTTCCGATGCGGCGGAGCGGGGCATGTGCGGGCGGTGCGGTGTGCCCAGGTCCGAGGGACATGCCCCCGGAGACGGAGGAAGAGCCGGCCGTCAGAGGAGTTCAGCCGGAGTCCAGCGGAGTTCAGCTGGTAGAAGACGGTCGTGCGGAGCCGGGAGCCAGCGGAGTTCAGCCGGTGGAGGACGTTCATGCGGAGTCGGAAAGCAGAGCGGTGCAGCTGGCGGAAAACGTTCTGGCGGAGTGCAGTGAGGAAGATGACGACGAGGACCCTTTCTTCTGGGGGAGCCGCCCCTTTGACGAACCGGAGGAAGAACGGCCGGTCGAGGAGCCGGTGGTGGAGGTCCGGCCGCGTGAGGGCGAGACGCCGGCTATGACGGCGCGGCGGGTTTGGAGCCAGCGGGTGGCGTCGACGGAGGAATCGTCGACGGAGGCGAGGCCGGGGTGTCCACAACGCCCGACGGAATGGACGGAGGAGGACGCGCGCAACTTTCGGATGATGGCCCACTACAAGTGCGCCATATGTTTGTTGGTGCCGGAAGACCCGCAGACGACGAAGTGCGGGCACTTGTTCTGCTTCCTGTGTCTCGCGAAGGCGTTGAGGCTAAACCCGGTGTGCCCGACGTGCAGGACGGAGTTGAGAGGTGAAGGCGCAGTGAAGAACCTATATCTGTCCGGTAGCCGGTAGAGGTGAAATCGCTGTCAGGAGCCAGTGTAGGTAGCGTGACCGAATGTCGGGGTCACATAGAGATGTAGACGGACGTTTGACGTTAGAGGTGTTAGATCAGCGGTTCCCGACCTGGGCGCCGCGGCTCCTAGGGGAGCCGCGGGACTTTTCTGGGGGAGCCGCCGAACCTGGTAGCCGCGGCTCCCCTAGGAGCCGCGAGGCTTTTCTGGGGGAGCCGCGGACGAATTTCTGGTGTAGGTCCGGGCCGTCAGGGTTTGTCAATTCCAAGGGAAGGTTCGTGAAACGGATCGACGGTTGTGTTCCCGCCATTCGGTTCAACTCTATCGAGGAGTGAACGAAGCTAAAATAAAATCTCACTCGCTTTCACACCACCGCACGGAGCACCTTTTGTTTCCTTGTGTCTTCCCCGCAGAGAACACTTCATCCACCACTAAGCTTTTTCCCGTGAGCTTCGAGAAGCTCAACTCTTCTCTTCCGTCGAGAGAGATTGGACTCATTTGTTAGAGAGCTCTGGTATGCCCGCGAGGCTACCTTTTCCAGCCAGGAGCTGCTTGTCTCCGGAGATTCCCATTCGGTCTTTTTAACGGGGAATTGACGGGAGGGAGGCGGAATATTTGTGAACAATATATGTACATGCAAGTTATGAGTGCCGGAATTGAGCTGCGAATGGTCCTTTTAGGGGAAAAAGAAGGGAGAGTAGGTAGGAGCCGCGGGAGCCGCGGGAGCCGCGTGGGCACTGGGATCCTGGGAGCCGCGGGGGAATTCTGGGTTCGCTCGGGAGCCGCGGAGCCAAAAAGGTTGGGAACCGCTGTGTTAGATGGACGTGTGAGGTGTCGGACGGACGTTAGAGGTGTAGGATGTAACAGAGTGTCAGAGAGGTCGGTCGCACAGCGACTATAGGTCGGCTGTGGCGGCCTGTGTGTGTGCTCAATAAACTAGAGGTGGCTATCGCTGGTTCGTTAATACCGAGGTCTTCATTCGCCGTATCCCATGAAGATAGTAGCCCCGACACGCCTGATCTCGTCTCTCTCGATCCCTGCGGTGTATACCAGTTCTGACTCGACCTCCCACTCACGTCCCGATAACTCTCGATCGTTCTCGCGAGCGCCGACACCGACTCGTGGACCGTCGCATGAGCGGATGACAATGCACATTTGTACTCCGGTAATAATCCCTTCAGAATCTGCCGCTTGATCGCCGGGAAACCCCATTTCAACTTCTTCGCAACCAATGGCGTCCTGAGGATTCTTCTTTGGGGGGGGGCTAGATCGGGTTTTCGCATGGGGCTGATTTCCAACATGGCGACCCGCTCCTATATCTTAGCATTACGAACTCTCAATCTGGAAGGGGGCTATAGCCCCCTAGCCCCCTCTCTGCGGACGCGCCTGTTCGCAACCGTCTCTACCCTCAGCGCAAACATCAGCACATCTTCTCCTCTATTCTGCTTAGAACTCAACACCAACTCTGCCAATTCCCCTTCGCACTCCGCCGGGATGAACTCTCTACGAAATGCCTCTTCCCACAGCTCAAACGTCGAGTAGTCTTTGCCATAAGATCGATTCCACAGACCAGCCGCCCCAACCAACTTCGTACACAGCACGCTTCTCGTACCAGCCTCTGACCACCAACCGTTACTCCGCGCGAACCCGAACTCATCCAGCCTCAGCTCCGTATCCCTCGGGTACCTTCCGCTGCACGTGCGCAGAGTCAACGCAGTGTTCTCGATCCACCTTCTTTCCTCCTTCTTGGGCGTCTCCTCCTTCTCGTCGATCTTGATCTTCATAGCTCCGACAACCTCCACCAGATCCTTCACGGTACTGGTCAACTTCGCAAAGAATTCTTCCGACATCTTCCTCTCGTTGCCGGATTTTTCTGATCTTCGTCACACAACTGTCTCTCCGAAATATCAACTGCGCGTATCCCACCGCTGCAATGTGAGAAGCTCTCCTGCTCTCTCTCTAGGCTACTGACCACAGAGTAGTCGGAGGACTATGTGACGACAACCACGGCTCTCTTATTCAGCGGGCTCCCTGGCACGATGTGTCATCGACAGCTGCTAGTCCCTGAATGATGCCTCTCTGTTTCGATTCTCCGTCGTCTGCTATTTAAGCGCCCTCTACACTCAAGAGACGACCCTACTCTCTCTCGAATCATAACGCGCGAACACACACATTGTTACAGATTGTATCGAATATCAACTTGTTGAGATCTTGTTTCGAAGGCAGCGGAACTTTCAGAGCCCTCTCTAACGCAAAATCATAATTTGGATACACCAAGTATTGTAGTAGAGAGAAAGCTAAAGTTCTTCGTTTCGCAATCTCATCCACCACAGGGACGTAAAGGGTTGTGGAGAGATCGCTTCCCACATGTTGTAAGTTGTTCGAAAGCACGGAGAGTATTCGATCAGCGTGAAAAAGTGTGGCCTGAGATGAGCACAGACATATCATCGCGGCTTTGACTGGTGATAATATATTCAGAATAGCCTGGAGACAATCAATTTCTCTCCTGGTGAAAGGAGCTCTATCGTGCTCCACCAGGACCGCATTCAATGCTGGCATAATGAGGAGGCTTCTTTCCAACATTGTAATCGTTGAGTACCATCGGATCTTCGTATCGAGTACGACCCCCAGCTCCTTGCCGTTGTAGTAAGGGAGGGCGGTGAAGGTTTTCAGAAGATCCCGTTTAGGTCCGCTCCGTTTTATCTCTT